CGTCACAACACACGTCTATCATATGGTTGGTTGTTGTTGTTGTTTTATTTTAGGTGAATGAAAATTCCGAATATTCAATGGAACAAGAGTCAATTTTTTCAACATTTTGTTTTCATATTGAATTGGAATTTTGTGGCGATTCTGGCCAATTTGAATGGATTGTATCATATGGAATTTTCAGTTTTTGTCTTTCGAATAATGAAATATTCACATTTTTTGCTGAGAAGTTGCGGAATAGATATTTTCAATGAATTGTTGCGAGTTGGTTTTCGATAGCAGAGAGTCGAAAAAAAATTCGTGGCAAAAAAAAGGTTTGCAGATGATGCAATTGCATCAGCAGTCAACGTTAGCTGGCAGTGGATTGGGTGGGGGTATGTCGGGCAGTGGCGATAGTGGCATATCATCACGGACGATGGTCGGTCAGGCACCCACCAGCCCTGAGAAGAGTTTCTTGACAAGGCAACGACAGTGTGGCACATTCAATATATCGAGGTGAGCGCTTGGTTTGCGATTTTGAGTTTTATTTCATTTCGGGCACCATATGCTCAGTTTTATTTGCATTGCAAACGTTCACGATGAGTGTATTTTTTATTTATTTTTGTGACTTTGCATTCGATGATTATGAGAATTTGTCATGTGTGTCTTGTTTTGCGCATTCAGCAAGCGATTTGCTTAGTAATCCTTACAAAATAGACAAGTTTTGTACTATAATATATGTTGAATTTGCATCAATCCACCTCATTACGAGTTTATATGCCTCTCTTTTTTCATTTTTTTATATCACATGATCACGATTATCATATTCCTTATTCCTTGGCATCGTTCTTTCCGCGCAGCTAACGATAGTAGCGTTGGATATCATTTGTCAGGTCTTTTACATCTGATTTGGAAATATTTGTGTTAATGCGACATGGGTTATGGTCAATTTCAATAAGAGGTGTTGAGAAATCATAAGATTTCTTTTTTTGTTTGTTTTCTTGTAAATCAGTTTGAGTTAATTGCTGTCTGTGGTTTGTTGTTCTGTTGTGCGTCTTATTGTAAATATTTTAAGAGTGGGAATTTTTTGATTGAATTTTATTGGGAAAGTAATGAATGCATTTTTATTGTTTGATATTTCGACTCGCGGAATTATCCCTAAAATTATCTCTGACATCCCTCAAGTAATACGAGTCGATAATGTCGAATCGGTATAAAAGTTGCAATAATTTTTCATAATTGAAAATTTATGCGGATGGTTTGTGTGAAATGTGCTGTGCTTCGTCTCGTCGTTATATTCATGCTTTGTGAGCCTTTATAATAGTTTTGATGAATGTGAATGGCTATATTCGGATTTAGATTTGGTTAATTGGTGTTTGTAGAAGGCAAATTTGATTTGGTATTATTGTATATTTGGGTTATTTGCATGGTTATTTTATGATTGATTCGAGTGTTGAGTGTTAAGTGTTATGAAGTTGCAGTTTAATGAAAATGATAACGGCCTGTCTGTTGGGGTTTATTATTTCGGCGTTCATCAATGCAAACGCACCATTTTGGTTAACCGAACAAACTGATCGTTTACCACCGATTTGAGCAGTTTGTTTGAATTCGTTGGTTGTTGGTTTGGTTTTGAGATTTGAGATTTTGATTTTGTTCGATTGTTTGGATTGAATCGTTTGATAGTTACGGATGAGATTCGTTATGTTACGTTGGATTGTATTGCAGAAATGTTTTGGTAGTTTAATTGTCTGATATTTTTATGATTAAATTAGATTTTGAAACGGGGATTTGGGAATATGAT